CTGCAGTAGAGGAGTGGCTGCAGCCCTCACGACGGCGCGTACTGGCGGACGACTGGATGCGGACCGCCGTTGGTACGCTGCTGCACCTGTGACACACCACCACTTTCAGATAAGAAACGCCACAACGGCTCACAATCCCACCCGTCAAGAAGGTCCTTTGAAGTCGCTCACCGGGCTGGCCAGGTGCTTGGCAAGGGACGCCATGCCGCCGGTTGCGATGTAGCGCGTCGGGCCGTCCGCCGGCAGCGCCTCAAAGCAGCCGTCCTGCAGCGTGCCCACGGGCCCGCGCCACTCGCGCACGGCACCGGCAGCCACCCACTCGTCCACCATCGCCTTGAACCTGACAGGGAAGAGGGAGGTCGTGCAGCAGGTGATGCGTGTGTGCTGGTGCCCTCGTGGGCGCGTGCGTGCGCCTTCGAGCATGGGTGGGTGTATCGGTGTGCCAGTGGGCGAGCCAGGTGTGTGTGCCAGTGCGTGTGCCAATGTGTGTGTGTGTGTGTGTGTGTGTGTGTGCGCCAATGTGTGTGTGTGTGTGTGCGTGAGTGTGCGCGTGCCGGTGTGCTTGTGCCACTTTGCGTGCCAGTGTGTGTTCAAGCACCTGGTTCATCATTGGTGCATGTTTCTTGTGCGTACATGCTTGTGGGACCCCTGTACGTGCTTGCGTCCAGCCGTCCTTTCCGTGCCCACCCACCTGGGGTCGGTTGCGGTGAAGTACTGGGCCGCGTGGTCAAACGCCAGGTCAGCGCCCTGCAGCGCTGGTGGGACCCACTCCTGCCTGAAGGAGCCCGCCGCCGACGCTCGCGTGGCCAGCCGGCCGCCGACCGAGTGCTCTCCGGTGTCGAACACGACAGAACGGATGCCCCTGCGGGCGAGCGCCTGCGTGCGGATGCGAGGCGACGGCGGCAGCGGGTGCTTTCTCGCGGTGCATGTCGTCAAAACCAGGGTGTTGACCCCAGGGCGGCAGCCGCTAGCAAGGGCCTCGGAATGCGGCCTTTGGGACTGAGGCGTGGTATCCCACGGCTCCGCCCCTCCCAGACGGATGGGTCTGAGCCTCTGACCGCGAGTCAACGCGTGTGTGTGTGTGTGTGTGCGTGTGTGTGTGTGTGTGTGTGTGTGTGTGTGTGTGTGTGTGTGTGTGTTCGGGTTCGCTTCGAGAAGGGTGTTGAGCGTACCTGGCCGCACACGAGGCCGCTGAGGCCGCCACCGATGATGGCAACACAGGGATCGTTGCTCATGGGTGTCTCCCATGTGACCTGGCGGGCAAGAGCAGTGGGGCAGCATCGGCGCCGACTGCCCAGTGTGTGCGATGGCGCGCTGGGCAGGGTTGTGCACAGTCATGCTGTGCGATGCATGTGCATGGTGCGCACGTGACGCTGATGTAGGAGGGACTGTGAATGCAATAATTACCCTCACCTGCTGCTCGTTGATTTGAGGTCCGCGACGGCCACCCCCGCGCCCGCGGCCACGCCCGCCACCACCCCGGCCCGGAGCAGGTGGAGTCGGCCTGCATTGTCCGCTACATTGAGTCAATAAAGCGCGGCGCATGTTTCTTGCCGCTGAGAGCACCCTGGCTCGGTGTAGATGAGCCGCGCGTTTCTCAAGACAACTTGATCAACGCGAGAGGTACCAAGCCAATGACACGTATAAAACATTGAAATGGAAAGCGCTCGAAACATCTAGACGTGTTCGTCCAAAGGTCTAGTCCTACCCAATTTCGCGTGCTGCGCTGATGTGTGCACCTGCTGCTGCATGCGCTGCGCTCACAGTTCAGCAATGTAGACTTGTTTCTGATTGCGTAAGGACCCTCACTGGATTTTCAGGTGAATTTCCTAGATAAAGTTAGCCAAATGTCAAAGCATCACTGCCAGCCTGCTTTGTACCGTGTTGGGGCCGACAACCTGCCGTTGTGGACTGCCGCTGCCACGTGCTGGGCTGGTTTTGTGTTCTGAAGGGAGAATGCTTCAAGAGCAGATACAGCCGCATTGAACATCCGCATCTGATGTAAGTACCAGTAAGTTTACATGGGACGCTTTGAACCATACCGTAAGTGCACACTGTGTCAGAGGGCTGCCAGGCAACCCGCCAAGACAAATGGCGCCTTCAGATCTGCGGAGCATGATGTGCTTGACGTTTTGCTCAACATCGTATGCTTTCTTGCAATCAAGTTCAGCGCATTCTGCCGATAACCTGTCGTTTGAGTCCCGTCAGCAGCTCGCAAACCATGTCAGCATAGCCCGCGGGATGAACAGGGCAAGCAAGGTCGATATGTGATGAAATAAGAATTGTAATTCAACATATAGCCGTGATCTCGTACGCAGAATCCCTCGCCAGCCACTCTGCTCACGGATTGCCCCAGCGGGCGGCACTGCACAGTGGACCGATTGCACACGTCATGGATTGGTCGCATTTGCCTCATGATGTGTTGGGGGCAGCGCTGCGCTCCACCGTGAGCACCTCCCGTGATGGGGGCATGCCCGGTCCCGCCACGCAGTCATGATGTGTGCAGCACGGCCAGGCCGCCGCCATGGCCTTGCAGCGCCGCTCTTTGCAAGGGCCATAGCTTGTTTTGACAGCGGCGCGCTGAGGTGCAAAGATCGCTCCCTCGGACAGCCCCGTCGCCCCTGCTTCGGACAACCGGCTGGCCGCGCACAGCTGTCCACGACGCCCGGTCTGCCTCACCCCCTGCCGCCACGCGCCCTGCGGCCTAGCGCCTCTGCTCCTGTTCGCTGCAAGTAATAGCACCGCCCCACCTCTCTGCAGGGCTCTGGCGCGCTGGTGGCGCGCGCGGCTGCGGTCTGCACGTCATGGAGGGCGGCGGCACACCAGGTGTGAGTCGGGGCGGGATGACAACCGCCCATTACGAGCGCATCTGCACATGCATGCACGCACATCCTCCGGCATGCGCCGGCGCGACAAACAGCTGCTGCCGCCGCTCGCCATGATGGCAGCTCGTAAAGCAGGGTTTCCCGGGTTTCAATGCCCACGCCCAATACATCAGCTTGCCAGTACACCAGCTTGCCGATACATCAGCTTGCCAATATACCAGATTGCCAATCCACCAGATTGCCAATATGACAGATTGCCAATACAACGGATGCGTTTGCTGCGCCGCCGCGCCGATTTGGTTCCGCCTCTCCCAGAGAGAGCTTTGGGCCGACCTGGCAGCAGTCAGCCTGGGCGTGGCGCCCGCCTTCCTGGCGGCTGCGGGGTCCCACCCGAAGGACGTGTTCGGTGAGACGCTGGGCGGCCTCTGTGTGCAGACGCGTGCATGCGATCACACACGGCTCGCACGGCGCGTCCTGCTTCATGGCCGCGTCCGCATGTAAGCGCTGGGAACGCATCAAGCTAATAATCGAGGGCACAACCTCGCTGAAAGTCTGTCGTTTTTCCATGCTGTTTTGGGCAACCGCAGTCGATGCGCTGAAGTCAGAGGCGTGGGTGTGGGGCATCCTCCCGCACGGCGGCCCCTGCCCCCTGCCCGGCGGCGACACCTGCGCGGCGTCGCTCATGGCGCACACAGCGTCTGGCAGCCGCTGCGTTGCGCCGATGAGGCTCACGGCCGCCCCCCCCGCCGCGGCCGCTGTGCTCATCGAGCACTGCGGCCGCGCGGCCGGCGCCGAGGCGGACAGCGAGGCGCGCGCGGCCGCGGCTGCGGCATTGGCCCGGACGCTGCCGCTCAACGCCCGGTATGGGCCCGTTTCACCGCCTCGCGGGGCCGCCGCGGGCCCCAGCGGCGAGCCGCAGGGGCCAGCGGCAGCGGCGGGCCCGCGGCGGGCGGCGTCGCCGCGCGCTGTGGCGGCCGGGGAGGACTTTGTCGTGGTGCTGGGCGCCAGCGGGCGGCTTTGGGACTCGCGCCACGCGGCCAAGCATAGGCACCCAGGGGTCAAACTAGCAGACGTAGGGGCGGCGCTGAGGGGCGTGGTCGTCACCGCCATTGCAGCGGGTGAGACGCACCTGCCACGGCCGCAGCTGTCTGAGCTGCTGCAAGCTCGCGGGGTGCTGCAGCCCGCAGTTGGGTGCCTGTGGTGGGGTGTCTTCGTGGCAAACGGCAGCCGCCCTTCACTTGCATGCTTTGCTGCAAGCCAAAGGCGTGGCGTCGCAAACGTGGCGTTGCTTCACATCGATGGATGCTGCCCGTGCGACCGCGCCCCCGCAGGCCGCCACCATGTACTCGCACTGTCGGACGCCGGCAACGTGTTTGGCTGGGGCGCCTGTGGGGCAGGCCAGCTCGGGGTTGGCCACCGGCGGCCGTGGGTGCCGGCGCCGCAGGACCTGACGCGCGGCCTGTGCGCCGAGTGGGAGGTGGGCGGGGCACGCAGGGTTTGCGGTTGACCTCAAGATCGCCAAGGGGCAGGGCTCTGAGCAGCTTGATCTGTGCGGAGTTTGCACTCCTGCTTGCTGCTGCTGCTACTGCTTCTACTGCTTCTACTGCTGCTACTGCTGCTACTGCTGCTACTGCTGCTACTGCTGCTGCTTCGTGTCCACGATGGGGCGTTTCACCTGGGCGTGCCGGGCGGCTCCGTCTAATACCGCCATCACCCGCGCCCAAGCAGGCGGCCAGCGCGCCCGTGCGGGTGGCGGCGGTCGCCGCCGGGGCGGAACACAGCGGCCTGCTGACGTCATCGGGGGACGTCCTGCTGGCCGGGCAGAACGCGTCCGGCGAGTGCGCGCGGCGGCCCGCGGCGGGGGCCGGGGGCGCCTGCGTCGTCGCGTGGTCGCGGGCGGAGCTGCCAGATGGCGCGGGGCGGCCCGCTCTGGTCGCGCTCGGCTGGCGCAACACGGTGGGTG